TATAGACTAATCTTGGCAGAAGCAAAGTTGCTCATGCATGATATGTCCTTTGCTACAGTGATGAATTTAGGGGTAGATATTTTGGTGATAGGCGAACCTAATCGGGTGAACTTGCTTATTTTTTGTGTTAAAACTAATGATAATTCTGGAGACATTTTTATTTTAAATAAAATGTTTACTAGTTCTGCCTTACCTCCTTTAAATAAAGAACAGTTTTAGGTGCATTTGCCCATTTTCTTTTAATGTATGAAACTAAATAAAAAGAAAAATAGTAACATCCTCTTTAAATCTGACATGGGCCGAAACATTCCCACTGGGTAGACGAATGGTCCCCACCGGTGGTTATCATTTAACTGTGGGACAGAAAAACCATATCTTAAAAAATATAAATTATGCTGTTTAAAACAATTCGCTATTTATGTGTAAAATGTATATACTATCACTCTATTCTGTTACATGAATTCAGCAGCATTTAAGCATATTATAGATTATAGTCCTTTTAAGATAAATATGCCGAATATCCCCACCTTCCCCTAACAGGCAACCTTAGCGAGATAAATTTAATTTTGGATAGAGGGAGAGTAATGGATGTCAAGGCAGGGGTCCCACAGGGATCAATACTGGGCTCTATTTTGTGGAACATCGCCTACGATGGAGTACTTCGCCTGGATTTAAGAGTTAGACCAAGTGGCTGTAGAAAGCTCGATATAACGATAGTTGAGGAACCGAACAGAAGTGGCCATCAGAGTATAGTCTAGGAAGATCATTATAAGGAATACCGGGGATGGTGATGGATTCACAGGGATAGAGGTATGCGGTACCTATATCTATAGCTGCTACTTTAGTCCTAACAGACATCAGGAGGAGTTCGAGGATGAGATCTCAAAAAACAAAAGCAAGGAAAAAGATCTGCTCCTTCGGCCAATACTTCGAGGCTTTACTTATACCATCAGCAAATGTTGTTTTTACAAAATATCACAGATACAGCTGTTGCTCACGAAAGTACCAATAAAGACAACAACGGAGGGCATAATGGCGAAACACAAACAGAAGATAATGGAGTTGAAACTATTCAAGATGAACAAATTGTGAGAAATACATTACAACGGTAAACAAACTGGCGTTTCTGATATGAGAAGAAAAAGAAAGATTAATGAAGTTGGTTCCAAAATGATGTACCAAAATTAATTAGAGCCACTGTTCGGCGGAGCTTGTATATGTTTCCCATCCATTACCCTCAACAGACTCGGAAAATTCTATTTATCGTAAAAGTTTTTTTGCATTTCTTTCTACATATTTTCTTTTGGGACATAACTATATGTTGGAAGACTTTCCAAAGTGATTGGCAAGTTGTGTAAACTATTTTACGAGCTGTTGTTTCGCCCATACGATAACTGGAGTGTAGGCACTTAAAATAGTTTCCAGTAGCAATAAACGTAAAAAAAATCTTTTTAGGTAATGCATGTAGAGAACGATGGGTGAAGCTAAGGGACAGTCATAGGAAAGCTCTAAAGTCTAAAGCGTCCGTCCAATAAATAGCGAACAAGCAGCAACCAATATGAAGGTTTCAAAATTCCGTAAGGAGTTGGCGTTTTTAATTCTAGATCTGTTTAAAGAAGATGAACGTAATACCAATATCCCTGCAGGAGAAAATCATTCAGAAGTGGGAGATTCGGATCACGAATTACAAAGTATTTACATTGACGAATCTGAATTAAGTAGGACTAAGCATTGCTGCCAAAAACTTGAAAGACGTGCTCCAGTTAAAGAAGTCACTTTCAGTTCTTCGATGGTAAAAAGAACGTATGTATAAATAGGGCAATAGATGGAGTCGAAATTTTGAAGTGGACACATGGCAAAGGGTTCAAATAGGTGCACATACCCAAGGTTGGTTATGTTTATTCCTGCTAGCTCGCCATATATACAACTGGAAAAATATGAAAATTATCTGTAGGTGCTAAGTAGGAACCTATAGGATAAAGGGGAAGACCCTTACGGATCTCATAATAGGCTTGGAGCTGGTGGTCCATAATAACAATAATGAAACGAAATCAACTTTTATTAGGGGTAATTCGGAGTCGCATATCGAAAATACGCTATCGACTGCGAAAATGGCTCGACGAGTCGAAGAGTGGGAGATTTTAGAGGGATACATACCCTCCATACAGGAGCAAGAGGTGTTAACGTGGATCCCCCCACAGGGGGGAAACCACTTGAAGCAAAATCACAGTGACATTTATAGTAATATTAATTCAAATTCAGATCTGACGAAGAGGATAATTTCTCCATTGAAAGAGGTAAATTAAGCTATTTACTTTTAATTATGTAGTGCTATCTTATTTTGGAGATCATACAAACAGTAACAATAAAATAATTTTTTATGTTTGTAATGTCAACACAGATGATCGAAAGAGCGAAGTAATGTCTCCATCACCATCGTCTACACCTTCCATTCCAATTCCGAATTCTGAAAAAAAAGAAGTATCTACTTCTAAAACTATTTTAAATGCTGGAAACATGATTCAAATAGCTAGAACTAGCATTGGTAGAAGTGGTAGTGGTAGTATCCAAAAAGTATGGCCATCTTACTCAAAGCAAGCACTACCTGTCACCGTAATCAAACAGCCAACTATCGCACAAGCACTTCGTGAGTATCATCTTTCTCAGATACTCTTCCAAAAAAAAAAAATGCATTTAAATACTATTCAGTAATATTCACTAATTTTTTCCAGACGGAGGATCTAAACATATTAAAATAACTGAAGCTATAATAAAGTTTATAGTGCGGTATAGTACGGTTGGACCGCTTTTGAATCGCTTCGGGTAGTCTTGAACTGCTCTGGACCTACTGAGGAGCGCGCTGACAAACCGGTGCCTAGGTTCAGTAGGCTGTGCAGGGAACCATCTTATGCAAATAGGACATTGTTATACAATGTGGTATCTTCCACTTTGCTATATGCACCTCCAGTCTGGTATGGAGCGACCGCTGATCAAATATAGGAAAATGATGGAGAGTTTCCAGAGGAAAGCTTTGATTAGAATAGGTTCAGCCTACAGAACTGTGTCAACTGCGGCGATACAGATGGTGACAGGCACGGTCCCTATTCACCTGATGGTAGAAGAAAGGAGGAGGGTTTTCGAGAGGGAAGACGGTGCTACCAGAACGGCAAAAGCAGAGGAAAGGAGAAGAACTATACGGAGGTGGCAGGAAGAATGGGAAGAGAACGAAAGCGCAGGACAATGGATCAAGAAGCTGATAAGGAACTTGGAGAGGTGGATATAGTACAAACATACGAGTAGGAATTGCTCTCACTTTATGACACAGGCATTGACGGGGCATGGTTCCTTTGGGACATACACGCACCGAATAGGGAAAACGGCAGATGATAAATGCGTATATTGCGGGGAAACTGACGATGCGGAGCATACTGAAATCCCTGACGTAAATAAGAGGCTCGATACTCATATTAAGGAATTTGTTAAAATATTTGAAGATTTGAAAAGTGATGCCTTGAAAGCTCTTACTGATCAAATTGAATCTACCGTTATTGACCACGTTAAAGCTACTGCTGTTTCTTCTAATGATTCACGATCTTCTATCGGCAAACCGTCGTATGCTGAAGTATCAAGTCATCTCTCTTGATAAACCCCAAAAAAACTCAGAACTCCACGGTGACGAAATCTGATATGTTACAAAGTTGATCGAGTAAATAATAAAATAAGTTTAACTAAAGTGAAAACTGTTCGGGATGGCGGCCTTCTTATATGCTGTGAGAGTGATAATGAATGTTTGCGGTTCAATGAAGCAGCTGCTGGGAAATTGTCTGAAAAATACAGTATTAAAGAAGTCCCTTCTCTTAACCCTAGGATAAAAATAGTTGGTATCTCTGAAAAGCTTGAGGGTGATGTACTTTTAAGTTACTTAAAGACCTAAAATATGTTTTTAGTGATTGCTGTGACTGTCATATTGTATCTAATACGCCTTTGAGGAGAAATAAAAATGTATGTCAAGTTATTATTCAAACTGATAAAGCTAGTTACAAAAAAATAATGGAACAGGGCGAGCTCTTTATTGAGTATGACTATTGTAGCGTGTTTGATGCGATTGAGCTACGTCGTTGTTTTAAATGTTGCGGTTTTCATCACTTACAAAAAAAATTGTTCATCTAAAATAGATGTATGTCCCCTATGTGCACAAAATCACAGAGTTTCGGATTGCAAATCTGATGCTTTATATTGTATTGTCACAATTATATGTAAAAAGTAAAGACTGTACTGCCACTATTGATGTTAATCATGCTTCTTGGGATCAAAATTGTTATACTTATCAGATGGCTTTGGAAAGATTCAAAGTCAATGTATTGAGTATCCAATAGCAATTAGTGCCTACTTCTAAATCGAACACTTTGCTAAGTTGTTATTATCAGAATTGTCGTGGTATTTGCACAAAAACTAAAGAACTGTTTATTTCTTCCAGCGGTGCAAGTTATGATATAATTGGTATTAGTGAGACTTGGTTGCATGAAGGTGGGCAGAGTTCTGAATTTTTTGACAGCAATGCTTATGAGATACATCGTAAGGATCGTGATTTTAATATAGTTAACAAAAAAAGGAGTGGTGGTGTACTATTGGCAATAAGCAAAAAATATGATTCTTGTTTCTTTGATACTACTGTCAATACATTTTCCGACATTAACTTTATCGATATCATTGATGTTAGATTGAAGTTAGGTGAATTTTACTTTTATATTTTTAACGTTTATGTGCCACCAAATGTTAGATCTGATGATTACGATATATTATTTGACGCATTTGAATCTTTATATTCTATTTACGGTTCCAGCTTATTGATATTTGGTGATTTTAATATTCCCGATTATAATGATGTTAGCTCAAGTGCACTATTCAGTCGGAATGTTAGTTCCTTAGTGAATTTTATGAACTACTTTAATATGAAACAATACAACCATGTTCTGAATTGTAATAATAGAATATTGGATTTAGTTATATGTACTGAGCCTTGTACTGTGTTTCGCGCTGATGATGTTTTCCTGACTGAAGACCATCACCATCCTGCAATTATTGTTGAATTATTCGTACCTGATAATACAAATAATAAATTTCCGCTATGTGCAAGTAATTCTCGCAGTAATTCTATTGATCTTAATTATAAAAATGCTAATTTTCCAGCTCTTTACGAAGAATTATTGTCAACTGATTGGTCTTGTATTTCTTCTGTCCCTAATATAAATGATGCTGTAGAGATGTTTTATGATATCCTTAAGGAAATTTTGTCCAGACATGTCCCACCAAGAAAAAACGTTGTTTTTAACAGGCAGTTCCCTAA